GAGGCTAGCTCGGCTCGATACTTATTTGCAACAGAAGTTGCAACCAGCTTGCTAACATCAATCCGTTGATGGCGGTCACTTCGTTGTCCACTGAAAAGTAAGGCAAGATTGGCGCAGACCAAGGCATGGTCAGAGTCCAGATAGGTACTCCAAAAGGAGCGGCAGTCTTTTACACAACCACGCCAGCGGTAGCTGATCGCGATGTGATCAATCTGAGTCCAGGCTTGGGATGCAGAGGGAGGACGCCAGGTGGCACATCGGCGATGACTGTGCCGAAAGTTAGTGCTAGCCAGAAACAGGTTGTGGTCTGTGCAAAGTTTCAGTAGACGGTCCCCGTTATCTGACCTGCGACCAACGAGTCCCCATCGGCCACCTAAACGACTCTCTTCTGTGCCTAGACGCCCGACCTGAGCATTCAAGTCTCCGGCTAGTACTACAATATCTGTCGAACGCACTTTCTGGAGAAGAACTGATAACTGGTGGTAAAACTCATCCTTGATTGCATCCGGGCTGCAATCTGTCGGGGCATAGGCGGAGATGACGAAAAGACATCGTTTCTCACGCCGATTTCTTCTCACTTTGATGGAACTTTCTAATCTAACAGCACATAACCGACTGTTAATGGGGATCCAATCGACTAGTGCTGCCTCAGCTCTAGCGCTTAGTGCGACACCAACGCCTGCAAGACCAGACGAAGATGCCACAGGGTCCCCGGATAAGCGCACGTAAAACAAGCTTTTTGAAGTGACAGATGTAGAGCGAATTTGTAGTACATCACCAGAGTCTTGAATACGGGTCTCGGATAGACAGCAGACATCGATATGAAGACTTTCCAAAGACATAGCCAGCCCTATCTGTTGTCCGACCTGCATAAATGTGCGAACGTTGAAGGCAGCCAGTTTGAATGATGCACGTGGTTTCAGAAAATCTGCTTCAGTCCTCGTATTCGGTGGTAACATACAATTTTCAACCGGACAGTGACTCGAGAACGTTTAGATACAGTCGGAATTCCACCAAAGACGAGCCGCTGTATAAGTATGAAAGAGGGTGAATAATGTGGGAAATAATAATAATAATAATAATAATAATAATAATAATAATAATGACGACAATAATAGTAATAATAATAGTATTAATAATGACAATAATAGTAATGATAATTATTTGAATCGATTGATTGTTTTTCGGAGCGAGAAAAGTAGTTGCCAAAGACATAGAGTTCATCGTTTGTGTGTGGGCTGTGATATTGCCCGGGTGCCCAAACCGAAGCAGGTGGTTTTCTTAGGGGGCCACTCCCCGAGCCTTTGACCTAAAGGTCTAACCCACAAGGCAGTGGAGCATCGTAAGGTGATGCAATCCCATGGTAGCCGGTGACCAAGGATTGGTTCATACGCCATTTGTTCCCGCAGGATACTGGAGCCCATGTGCACCATTGGTTTGTGATCCGGTTAAAGCGCCGGACATTCGCTTTTCGTCCTCTCATTTTTGTAAACAACACCCCCGCCACGAGAAGGCAATGAGTAGGACTTCCCTGGCAGAGGCTGTATACGCGCGGCCGTGTGAGAGTATTTCGAGAGGGAGAGCGGACTCAGCCCACTCTCGGCCGTACCAGGGCATTCGGGGACGAGAAGTGAATGTTCTCATTTTATCCGGGTTGGATGGTACGGAGGATCCACCTGAAAGAGTCGGAAGACTCTGATTTCAAACCATTGGTGCGCATGGGCTTCGGAATCCAGAAGGAATGAATGATACATGAACTTATCGTTGCCCATCATCTACCACGGGACTACATCTATCAACGTTTGTACACTGACTAGCGGATTGACCTCTAGGCCAAAAGCTCAGAAAGCAATTATTCAGGTTTCAATTATCATTCATGCGAATTATACTCAGAGCAATTTGTTAATACTCGTTTTTATTTGACATCAAACCATTCGTCCATTTCTGTATTTCCATTTGTTATATTACATTTAGTCTTCAGCTTCCACAGTAACTCGCCTATGTTGGAGAAAATTTGCCATCTAAACGATCCCAAGTCACTGACTAGTCGAAAGTTGAATGCTTTCATCGATTACGAATTCTAAACCAGCAAAACTGGCCCCAATCAACGTCCGCGTACTAATGCGAATGGGATAACGGATAGGGTTGACTACCTCCTTGACAAGTTTCAGCATCAATGTCTGTTTTCTGTCACATAACCATATTCAGGGCGTTAGTGAAGTACTAAAAACTCACTCCCATCTGACGCTTCCAACATCTTGTTTCACATATGTTCTTCCGGGGATCTCGTGGAATCTTCCTCTGTTTTTGCTGGCGTTGGTGTCGCACTAAACGCTAGAGTTGAGGCAGTACAGACCGATTGGACCCATATCAACAGTTGGTTACGTGCTGTTAGCTCCATCAAAGTACGAAGAAATTGGTGTGAGGAACCATGTTTATACGTCGTCTCCGCCTATGCTCCTGCAGTTCGGGTGTCTAGACACAGAGGGGAGTCGTTTAGGTGACTGATGGGAGCTTATTGGTCGCAGGTCGGGTGACGGTGAGTGTCCACTGCAACTGTGCGCAGACTAAGACCTGTTACCGGCTAGCACTAACTACGGGCTCAGTCGTCAGCGATATGCTGCCTGGCGTCCTACTGCATCTCAAGCCTGGATTCAGATTGATCGCATCACGACCAGTGTCGTTGTGTATAATACCGCCGCTTTTTTGGAGTAACTAAACGGACTATTTAGTGGCCAACAAATTCATCATCCTAAACGGATTGACGTCAGCAAATTGGTTGCAGCTTCTGTCGAATCTAGATATGGAACCGAGCTAGGTTCAAGACTAGCTGTTGTCCGACAGCAAATATAGACAGGCATTGATAGCAATTATATGACGCCATGGAGACGGCGAATAAATTCGCTCCCGGCTTCGCGAAACGTCCTGCTTATGAGCACTGGGTTATTTCAAGGTCCTTAAAACTCATTAGAACCCGTCGTCTACTCTAGATGACTGCAAGTTTGACCACAAACGAAGAAATGAATTTAGGCAGGGACTGAGTAAGGACCAAGAAGCCTGGTGGTCGGATCATGGCAATGAATTAGAAGCATCAGCTGCATCTGGCAACTGTCGGAACTAGAGAGTGCACCAACGTCATGGAATGAGTCGATAGTTGTCCCTATCTTTAAAAAGGGTTCACGTCGTTCCTGTAACAACTATCGGGGGATAAGTCTACTTCCGATTGCGTCCAAGCTATTGGCTTCCGTCATACTTCGTAGGTTGTTCAAAACCCGAGTAAGATTGACTCGCAAGGAGCAGTCTGGTTGTCGTTCTGATCGAGGATGTATTGATCATATCTTCACCCTCCGCCAAATGTTAGAACATCGTCATACTTATCAAAGGCCAACAATCGTAGTGTTTCTTGACATCAGGGCTGCCTTCGATTCGTTGGACAGAACTGTTCTCTGGGATTGTCTATTGAAGAAGGGTGTGCCTGAGAAGTTAGTTAACATCTTAAAGGTCCTATATACAAACACCTTAGGCAGAGTGAGGGCATACAACCACCTCTGTCTATTGTTCCATTCAAGCAGTGAGGTTAGGCAGGGTTACCCAATCTTACCATTCCTCGTCAAACTTGCTATCGACGACGTTTTGAAAACAGATCTGATGGATGTAGAGAGTGATGTTATGGATGTCGCCTGGACAAAGACTTTTCGACCCTGATTATACGGATGATGGTGTCTTACTGTATGATGATACCCAAGCCATACTACGCACTTAACCAGTTTTCAATCAGTGTCCGTAGGTATGGTACGTGCTTTGCACCTTCCAAGCGCAAAGTACCTTTACAAAACTGGCAGGACCCTGATCCTGCACTCACTCTGGGTAGTGAACAGATAGAAGTAGTCAAGAGGTTCGTGTATCTAGGTAATTGCGTAAGTGCTGGTGGTGGCGTGAGTGGCGATATCAATTTACATCTGGTGAAAGCCAGAGCGGCTGATGTCATTCTTGGTCATCTTTAGCGCCTCCACGGTTAGTCTGGCTGTAAAAGGTCGGACCCACGATGTGTCAATGAGAGCTGTTTGTGAAACCTTGCCTATCCGAATCGAGGGTTTCAGACAACTTTCTGTGTTTCATCATCATTGTCTCCGAGAGATCGCTGACATTCAGTGGCAAAACCATGTTAGTAATGCAGAGGTTCGACAGTGTACGGAAAAGGTGAAGTAGTATGCAGTGCATAACATGGTGTTGAGTTACGAAAAACAGCTGCAGAGGATTGACTTTTGTCGGTCCTTCACGAATCCGTGGTCAGCATCCTAGAGGTGGTGCAATACAGTAGATTGAGACGTCATCAGACATGGTTTAGAATGAGATCCAGTAACGGTCGTGCTATAATTTTCTTTTACTTATTCAGTGAAAGTAGGGAAAGTCACGTCGTCCTTTTTGGTGAGCGGGGGGACAGTGTTAAATCTATGTACATTATGTGTCTTCATTTTTTTCTTGTCCTAATTCCTCCCGATTACTAATCCACACTAATTAATCGGATTCAGTAGCCGACTTAATTTCCGATAACTTTTGCTATCCAGTGTGACGTAAATCTATAGTCATATTCTTGAGTGTGTACATAAGCTGATAATATTAAATATAGTTAATACTGTAATCATATCTTATTAATTGCAACATATATTTTCAATTCTAATACTGTAAGAATACTCTGTATGTCTTGATGTGAATGCATGAAAATTCCTCCACATACACCTTTAATGTAACAGTAACACTTTATCTAACACTTGATTGTATATTTATTACTTTTGATATTTACATTTGCATAATAATTTTATCTTTTGGCACCGAATCGAATTCTGTTATTCATTTCACACAAAATTTTGTATTGATTATGGCATGCTATCTTATCCGCAGGTTTAATATGGAATATTTCATGCAAGATGGAATATATACATTTTCTGACAGAAAAAAATGAACTAATTACCCACCAACATATGTTGAAACAAGATATACTATTTTATGTTTCCAGTAATATCTAGAGCAGCACCACATCGAATTAATTCACATAAAATATTTGCGATATTATGACAATCATCTAGAATGAAATCACAAAAACAATAACAATAAAATGCGAAAAAATACTAATATATATTCTAAATAAGCATCGAGTTATGCAGAATAAATAAACTATAGCTAGCAATCGAATCCAGGAAGTTATTTTCGTCTTGTCTTTGACTAGTTGGTTAGATGTGCCTGCATCCCAGTACGGATGCTCATAATGGGGCTGGAACAGAGTACCTTTCGCTTTAAATGACCAATTCTATACCTATTACGCTACTGAGTCTAGAGAGCCAATAACGTTTAGCTACAAACCACTTAGTCTAAATGATTTGTAAAAAATGGCTATATCGAGGCAATATTTACAGAATGTAGTGATGTCAACGATGGCTTATTAAAATTTATTCGTTAATATCAACAACGGACAACTTAAGCACTTAGTAATAACTTGATAAAACGAGTACTAATTTTCAAAACTTTTTAGTTTAACTCCTGTGAACAAAGATATTGAAATACATTTTTAGACTGGACAAATATTTACTAAGAAATGTACAATACTTAAGAGTCTAGTTTAATTAGTTTATAGCTATGTGAGATGGACTATGGTAATAAAACACAAACGCAGTTTGCCAGTATTCAATTGCAGATGTCATTGTTTATGTATCATGCAGTCATCAAGTGAGTGACAATCAGAAAAGATGTAAGAAATCTAAGGGCGGTCAAGTGAAGATGTAATATCAGTTTGTGAATTCGTTAACGGTTATAATGAACCTAATCAATAGGTTTAGACATTATCGTTGAGATTTGCAAAATCCTACATCGCCTTTGATTGAATGAAATTTTTCAGCCTGCATTTAAAGGAAATTCTGAGAAATAGTATCGAGTTTACTTTTATCGATTACTTATTAACTAATAGAAACAATGATTCACAAACTTACATCACCTATTTTTCTATCATGTAACAATAAAATAGTATAAAAACAACAGCCGAATCAAGATAAAGATCGCGGTGAATTTGATAGTAATAATCTAAGTTTCATAACTAGGATTTTTTAAAGAGCTACTGAGAATTCAACAATACCAAATAACTGCTATGAATTTGCTTTTAAGATAAAAGTTTAGTACGAGCCAACAATACGGATGACATCGCTCATACGTACACATATAATGAATAAAGAAATATTTTCAACAAATCCGTTTCAAAATAAATTCAATATAGATGGTAGCACAATATCGCGGATTGATTGACGTTAGGAATTAACACCGTTAAATGCTGGCTCAGTGGTCTAGAGGTTAAGTCCAGCACTCACCGATGAAGAGTCTCCTGCTAAAATGAGACGATCTTTCAGTGCTCCCGGGCTTTCACTGGTGGTCTAAAACTATAGATTAACTTAGTTCCTAAGGCTATGAAGTGAGTAAAAATAAAAATAATGATGACAATACTACACATTACCAATACCACTGTGATGACGACCAGTGTGTTTTATATTTAGTCCCGACAGCATGGACATCATACCGAATGGAAATTGACCCATAACATCGCAATATACCTATGAAACCAAAAAAATTATTAAGCAGTTTATAAACTATCGTATTTCCATACATTGTGTGAAAGGATGCTACGAATGAAATGATAAATAATAAAACAACCAAGAAATATCTATTACTCGATCCGAATTTCCAACTCTACAAATATAATATTTGATATTATTTTTACTGATAAATCCACCCATGAGACGGGTTTAAATTTTCGATACTGATCTATTTACAACTACCAACGGGCAACTGGATTCAAGTTATAGACATTAAAACAACTAAAATTGTGGCTAGCTAATGAAATTTTAAGCTAACTATATCATTGCGATTTCTGCCGCCTAGTTACGTTTCTAGTCATCACAGAATATGTATGAATCAAGGACGATTACAGTGTACCTTTATTGGTTAATGAGATGTATTTTGATTATCTATCTTCAAGGTCGAAATAGGACAAGAACACATTTAATAATTAAGAGCTAGTTATGATCCATAACTAAAGCGGCCAAAAATATTAATTTAAACAACCGCCAATCCACTTGGTCCGGTTTGTCTCTACTTACTTATCAATGAAAAGGTTGTATTCTTATATAACCATGACTATCTTCTATTACTTTAGTTTTATTGGACCTTACGTTACTGTTCATTATATTATGCATAATGTAATTCTCCCTATTATCTACTTGACTAAACTACTATCTTATTCCCTGCTTTAGTACTAATAGTATTAACTTATCTCCTAGAAACGTAAAAAATCTTAATGATTGAGTTTAACTTGTCTCAGTCATAACTACTCCAAGACTCCAGTTTGATAAATTAGTTGAAAATGTGCTCAAAAAATATACATGTAGACAAAACGCTCTATAATATGCAAAGTGATCAGTTAATTTTTATATTTACATGATACTGTTTCGTATGTAAAGAATACGAAGTGATCATATTGACAAGTTTGATCCACATGTTTTTTCCAGAAAATAATACTCGCTTTGCTAAGTCTACAAAATTTTATCACATCTTATACAGATAAAATCAGGTGATTTTGAAATTAGTTTTATTCTGTAAAATGCAAAAAGAAAAACATTACAAGTTGATAGTAATGCTCGATATTGTTGCAAGGGACTTTAGAATAATGAGAACTTCTGGAAATAATACCAAATAAGTAGAGATTTGTGTTTCGTTAACCAGAACAGAAAAAGTAATAAATATTCATCTTCTTTTATGATAATCTTAAGTACATGTGAGTTTTTACGTTAACAACCTATTGTCAAGTTGACTGCTGTAAAATTTAACTAAAACTACCACAGTAATTGATTTATTTTCTTCTTTTTAAAAACGATTGGAGACTAAAACATATTGAGGAATCAAAAAGTATGTTATGACGGCAAAACTGGTCAAAAGCATTCGTGGATGGAGGTCACTGGCTAATAATCACCGTTGCAAAACATCTTAATATATTTTAAATTTCCATAACGTATACAAAATAAGAAGTTGACGTAACATTACATACTGAATTGTAATCATGGATACAGTATTAATATAGAGATCATAATCATTACTGATTATCGGTTTAAAGGTTTAATAGAATAAAGAATAAACGTGTATTGTTACTGGAATAAACTAACCTGTTTTAAATTTATCCATTGTTTGAAGTAGTCAGGAACATCTATACCTAGAACCTTGCATTGCCTTGGTAACCTAAGTAGAACAGATAAATAGGTATTTGATTTACTCTATTGTTGAGTTTTAATAAGTAATTAAAGTACATAAAGTATGATTGTACAAATAGTAATGCCAACAGAACATTGAAAATAGGAAGGTAGTAGGTTTGAATCGCAGTGCTGACACTACGAATGAGATAATGATGTACTCAGTTAACTAGTTCCAAATAAGATGAAGCGCTCATCCACGGTTCCACTTTAAGCTACTAGCCAAAAACACAAGAATTTGTAACAAAAAGAAAGCTAAATCAAGGAGATCCGCTAAACATGTATAAATACCAATAGAGATTGTGGCGAGACTATAATTTATGAACGAACCAATCACGTATAAGATAACAGGTCTCGGATTTTGACGCAAAATCCACTCATTCATTCGGATAAATAAAGTTTTGGCATTATAGCTTATGTCAGTTCGTGATGAAAACCCTAAATCTAATTTCTATCCTCAATCATCAACTGTAAATCATAATTCCAATTCCTCACGCAGGTTTATAGCCCTCATTTAGTCCTGGTTATTAGGTGAACACTTTCAAGGTCAGTCTGGCGTCGCTCAAAGGTTGTCCATAAATTATAGTCTCACCGAGACTTCTGAAAGTTAAGAAATGAACAATACAAATCCCTATGAATATTTAAGATATCAGCCTATATGTTTTCTCTATCAACATTGAAAGTGTAACCATTTACAAACTGAATATTGTGGTAGCTTGAAAAAGATCTCACAGAAAATTATAAACACACAATTTATCAACGAACAATCATATTTGATATCACTTTTAGACTTAATAGTTATAAATACATGAATATCGTGTTACATTACATGAATGATATGGTTAAAATCAGTAATATAAGATGAAAACAGTGAACGACACATTTAATGAATATTAATACTAACGAAATGGATCACTGGTTAAATTAAAAAGATTATGCAACAAAGGATAAAACAATAGTTAATGACTAAAGATGATGAGTGCCAATAAAAAAATCTAATATAAAATAACAAGTATAAATTGGGATATAGGTGTCGTGTTTATTTTGGTGATAAGGTGATTTGAAATAAAAGAAGATTAATGTATAATTAAGAATTTGTTATAGAAGAGCTAGTATAGATCTCTATGAAAGGAAAAGTAGATGAAGGTTGTAATATGTACTAACGAATATACCTTGAAAATAGTGTGGGAGAAAAGTTACTTGAATAAAAGGTAATGTTACTGCAAAACAAATAATTTATAAATTGAACAAATCAATAAATGATTGAACTGAAAAACAAGCCACAGACTGCTATGATTGAGAAGAAAACACTCTAAGACTTGATTTCGAAGGTGATGTAGTGGGGAATATTCTTATACATTCACTAAAACGAATTTCAGTTTCGATAAATTGCATATTAATTACCCAACTGGCTCAATGATGATTCAGATAATCAAGTATAAGGTAGCAATAATTGGTTTGTCAATATACGTTTATCAGTTAAACTGCTCCAGAGGAGCTGGTAACATAAGCCGTACTCAGAGAGGGTTATCCTTACGTATTCGAGAACATGTGCACAGGTGATTGGACTAAGGTGTCAATAAGTCTATAAGCTGCGCCATTCTTTCCTATCTCACAGACAATGGACATAGTATCATGATGGAAACAGCTTTCTCTGTTATATGCTAAGTTAAAAAATAAATTATTGAAATGCACAAGATTACACCTCTACTACACACCAGAAGTAACTGGAATCAATTCAAATGTTCGGAAAAGTTTATGATTATCATAGAAAGACAACATGCAAGGTTGTTTATCGATTAAGATTTAACTTTCATAAATGTTTATAAGGCATTAAAACTTATTATTCCTAGTTTGATTTTTTATACTATTTGTTAGTATAGACTACTAGATCGTGAATAGTTGAAGAATACTTTGACGTCATACTCTCAAAAAGGACAAAAGTAAAATGGATTGAATTATAAAAAACAAAAATTAATATGACAGTGACCTTTTGTGTAATAAAAAAAAGCATAAGTAAATCAACAAATAAATTATAAAATTTACCTATTCGCTAAATATTTCTTATCAAATGTTTTCATTTCAATAACAACAGATTAAATATTATGCATAAAACAAAGAAATGTACTAACATGGAACATACGCGGTGTTGCTATGCTTAAAAAAGTACGAAGTATTTCCAACTGGTTTTTATAAATCATATATATAATAGTTGAATTCATGAGTCATTTAAAGCCAGACCACCATGGAAAACATGGAAGCACTGGACAGCCGTTTCGTCCGAGTGTGGGACTCCTCAGCAGTGCGCATCCACGAACCTACTCGTGGGATTCGAACATAGAACCTTCGGCCTCGTGAGTGAAGGCTTGACTACTGGACCACTGAGCCGGCATCCAACGGTTTTAATTCCCAACTTCAACCAATTCACGAAGTTGCGCCACCGTCCACCATTGTCTTCAGTCAGTGATTGCCTCACAACAGATACGGCTGAACTCTACTGGTCACAGCTTCTCACTAGAACCCCAAGTAGTACATCTTGAAGCCAGTCACTAGTCAGTACATGACGATTATTATCAGAATGGGGGTTTGTGGAGATTGTAGTAATTTTAATAGTTGAATTCATGAGTCAATTTAAATATCTTTAATTGACTGATATTAAGGCAAAATTTAGAAAATCAGTAATTTAAACTGAGAATAACCAGTTATGTAAATGTAAGTATCAAAAATTTTGATGACACAGAAAGGTATTTAAGTGGATGAATTAAAAATTTATTCATGTAAAAAACTGAACATTTAAAGAAACTTTATATAAATGTATTATGTATAACATATTACAAAACAGCCAATTGGTCAAAGGGGAAAATTGTAAATGAAGCTGTATAATTGAGTATATATGTATAAATATATATGGAAAAGTAGCAATCAAGATTTGCTGATTGGCATATCTAATGATACCTGGTTAAGATCTTTCTCATAAAAAAACCAATTCCAAACTATGGATTAGCATAATCCCTAACGTATATAGTGGTGAAGTTACGAAGCATTTAGAAATGTTCGTCTAAATATTGTGTAACCACAGGTCGACCCGGTTAAAATATAGATCCCATAATTAATTTCGTAAATGATATTACGGATAACCCCAAGTAGACAACGGTGCTACTGAAAAGAGAAACACAGAAATAAAACTACACTGACGACCTTCAGGAGTTCTGAGAGTGACCCTGAAAACGCCCAATCAGATATGACGCAATCACAATGCAGATTATGTAAAGGAAATATGTATGGCGAGAAAATGAAAAAATACAATGAATATATAGTTTGAAAATGGTTAATGAATTTATAGAGGTCAGAAAAGATTTCACTGGGACGAAAATCATAATAAGTGAGGCAAAAAAAATCCGTCCACGTAACCATCAATTATTCTTCCTCTGGAGCCTTTATATAGTTGAAGGTAGTCCTTGAATCTTGACCACATAGCTTCAAAATTGTTGTTGTATACACTCTTTCTAGGGTTCACAAAATACCATTTATAAACGGATATTTGATAGAAATAACTGTGCCTGTAAAGCATCTATAGGCTCTCCCATCGCCCCTATACATAGTTTCAGGTAGAATATACTGTCTTATCCTAAGTAAGAGTTTATGTCTTTCTATTTGAAACCCACTCAAAATAGCTTTCTGTAATGTTCTATTCCGTATCCTGAATGGTCGGTATTCAATATAATTCTTAAACTTCGTATACAATTCATCCTGATAACCAACACTAAATAACTCCCAACGGTGTATTAATCAGAAGGCGAATACGAAGTGCTGATTACGTTTATTATTGCACCCCACACAGTTCTCCAAAATTGCAGGTACGCTAAGCAAGCATGAAAGAGTAGTGTTGAAAAGCAAGTGAGCAAGCGAGTGAGCGTGCGAGTCGAATGAGCGAGTCAAAATGAATAGGATTAAAATATACATATATATACATAGGGAAATGAGTAAATCATCGAATCAATTAAGCGACTAATATTAAGGTTAGGAGAGTGAAGATATGAGTAGGAAGTAAGTAATGCTCAAGCATACATGTTTCATACAGGCACAACAATAATAAAGGTACAAAGATATAGATAAGTTGTTATAGCACGGATGACTCTGTCCGCTAAATAAGTTAACAAAAGGGCTTAGCCAAATTAAATGTCAACAAACTCAATTGCAAGTGAGCTGCTATACCACAATTGTTTCATCATCCAAATTAATTAAAGCATAAAA